ATTTCTGGAAAAGCGTCAAACTACTATTTAATGGATGTTATTAAATGAAATTAAATGAAATTTGTTTCTTATCCCTAAAATAAATTCATTTTATAAGGGTATTTCACATCATTGTGCAACATTGAAAAATCTATGACTTGTCACTGTTTTAACTGTGAAAATGAGTAGAATGCTGTTCATAGGGGGCCTCACCTGGACATAGCATGATTTGCCTTGTTGGCTATTTTCTTTTTCCTTCCCCACATGAGAACCAGGCTAACGAGGGCAAGCAGATTGTGAGGTTTGTTCTGTGTGGCATTCCCGGCACTGGAAACACAGCCCAGCACCAGAACGTCATAGGAAGTAGTTGCACAATCAGTTCCGTGACCCCAGGACCAGCTCTGGACACCCGAGCCAGCCCCCAGGACTTTCCTGTGTGAAGTCTGTCCCTCAGGATCACTCTGTACCTTAGGCATCCGGGCAGGCTGAGAATCCGGTGAGGCGGTGCCAGCAAGGGTGGCTGCATCTGGAGTCGTTTTGTTTCTGGCTGTTTGTGTGATCTTGGGGACATTACTTAACCTCTCAACGCAGGAATGTCCACCTTTGCAACTTGGGAAAATATGGATTCTGCAGGGTTGACATATTAAGTGAGATGTTTATAAAGGGGCCCCAGATTCTCCACCTGAAGTTTGACAGATGTTTGTGAATGTCCACTGGGGTCGAGGCTCTGTGATGGGTGAAGAAGACAAAGTCCCTGGGTACCATCAGCTCCCGGCCTGGTGGGTGGGACAGACAAATAACCATCTGTTGACAACTGAGTGGGGCTGGGGCCGGGACAGGGGAACCGCAGGGGGGTATGGGAGCTCAGAGGAGGGTTCCCCATTCAGGACTCGTCCAGGAGGTCAGCGAAGGCTTCCTGGGGGAAGTGCTGTCTCAGATGAGTCCCGAAAGGGGAATAAGAAGGGCAAGTCTTGCGAGGAGCCTCCCTGGTCCTGAGCCTCTCATCTGTGACCACCGTGGTCATCCCATTCTGCTTGTTGCAGACCGATTGAGAAACGGGGCTGTGCCCCAGCGCTGGCCCGTGGGAAGGGAAGAAACTGTCTGCTGGGGGGTCCTGGGATAGTTCCTTGCTCACAGGAATGCTACAGGAATAGAAAGTGCTTTTCTGCACTTGGATGTTGCCCTATCTGGCTGTCAGTCCTGGAGCAAATGTAGCAGAAAACAAAGATCAGAGAGACGGTGCTTGGTGGCAACAGTGGGTCACAGGTTATATCGTGCCTAGGCCACCCTTCCTGCTGACTTGCCTTTCTCATTCGGCTCGATGGAGGAGGAATTTTCTCTATACTCGCAGACAAAAGCAGACTTCCTGCTACAGGGAGCACTGTGGAATGTTTTTGGAAGGAGCAATACAGTGTAGTGGCTAAGGACACCAGCTGTGATTCTAGACAGGCTTCCTTCCAAGCCAGTTCTGCCGCTTGCAGTCATATCATCTTGAGAAAATTACCCTCCTCACCCGTGAAATGGATTTTTTTATTATTAATACTGACGGTGCCAAACTAAGAGGGGTATGTTTGTGAGTATGTGATGAGATATGCAAGGGAAGTCTGTAGAACCGATCCTGAGATGTCGCCTCTCATCACAACTACTGGTAAGGCCACGGGGTACTTCGGAGGAAGGCCCTTACGAACTGCATCGCCCACAGAAGAAAAAACATGACAATCTCGTTAGACTTCTCTGGCCAGCCCTAGAGCTTCTTTCATTCTCTGCCCTACTCTTACCAGGTTTTCCCTCATGCACTGAAGACCTCTCCCCAGAATGCTGACTGTTCCCTTGTGGGCTCCCCTTCTGGGAACCATAAATACACGTCATCTTATATTGAGCGGATCCATTCACTTCAGCTCCATTTCTGTCCTCTGGTAGGTCGGTGCCGCTTCTGGTTTGGGGGATGCCCCGGTGCAAGTCACAGAGTGTGTGATTGATTCCTTGCTGTTCTTGTGTGCCATTGGAGGCTCTCCGTGACCTGCTCCCCCCTCGTCTCTCCAGAGTCCTCTCCCTCTGCTTCAGGTCCCAGAGCTTTCACTCACACTGGCTTCCAACATGGACCCTGGCAATGAACTCTGTCTCCTTAAGCCTCAAACTCCTCATTGGTAAAATGACAATAACTCTACCTACTTTAGAGGGAAACCTACATGAGATGAGGGATGTAAAACACCTAGCTCACATCCCCTGGCATGCGGAAGGCACCAAATACACATAAGCTGTTTTCTGTCACGCTGGTTTTAATACAAATTACTGGGCATGTGATAATGTGGTTACTTGGAAAATGTTTTTGGATTGGACCACAGAAAGACGTGGCATATTGTGGGTGTATTAGGGTTTTTTTCCAGAGGAAAAGAACCAATAGGATATCTATACATCTATACAACTCTCTCTCCCTCTCTCTATCTATCGGGAGGTTGATTTATTTAAAGGAGTCGGCTCCTGGGATTGGCGTTACTGGCAAGTCCGAAATCCGGAGGGCAGGTCGCGTGGCTGGAAATTCAAGTAAGAGTTGATTCTGCAGTCTCGAGTCTGAAATCTGCAGGCAGGCCAGCATGCTGAAACCTCAGGCAGGGCTTCTATTCGTATGTCACAGTCTTCAGCGTAGGTTTTTGCGGCAACACGGCTCTGGGGTGTACCTAAAAACAGAGACTGACACAAAGCAGAATTTGCTTTCAGTTGAGAAGAATCGCACGGTCACTTGCTGGGTACACATCTCGGGATTCTGCAGGGAGAAAAAAGGCAGATTTAATCAGCGGTGGCTCTTGAAATTAAAAGATACATGTCTAAATGCCAATATGATTTTGAAATAAGTAGAGGATGCTCTGGTTCTCACAAAGGAGGCACAAAACCGCTGTTTTCAGTCACCACCCAGGCACACCAGACAACAGAGAATGGCCCCTGGATCCCCTAAGCCAGGGCATCGGCACCAAGGGGCAGGGGCTCCCACGGCGGGCAGCGGACTCTGCCTCCACATCTCCTGCAAGTCGGAGGACTCTCTTACTTCCGTTTGTGCCGCCCGGCTGGTTTGGATGCTGGTCCTGCCGCAGGGCCTCAGTGACTGGACTGTGTTCTCTGGTGCCCCCTCCCTTGTTCCCCAGCCCCCCAGCGCAGAGCTCCCCTTGATGAACTCTTGAGCCACTGCTGGGAATTTCAAGGTAGTGATCTCAGATCTGACAGGAAACAAACCACTACTGATGAACAAACCTGAATTCTTCGGTTACTTTCTTTCATACATATATTTATTTGGTATTGACGATGAGGTACCCCATCGGAATTCCTGCGAGGAGGACTATGACTCGACTGCTAAAGAGCAGGGAGACATTTACTTACATTTAGCTTATCATATTCATAATAGTTTACACACACAGTACGATGGTGAACCACCAAGTTCTCATTCCACGTCCCTTTCCCACACTTTGTTCAGCTTCCGGTTCTTGAAACTGGACCTCAGGGTGGCGCGTTGCATTTCGACAGACCTAGTGCTGCTTCTCAGAGGCAGTCAGTTAAATGGCACAAAAGCACAGGGACAGCAACAAGCCATTGACACTACACAGACATTTTATCTCTTATGGACAACAAGGTAGGGAGCAAAGATGGAGATCCAGGGTGGGAAAGTGACAACATGCACCACAGCAGCCACATGAGATGAGATGAGGACCCCCCGGTACACAGTCCCCCTTGCCACAGAATGCCTCACAGCGATCCAGGAATGACAGGCACGGGAGAGTAGGACCTTCCTTCCAACGTCATGCTGGGAGGATTCTGATCATGACACAGGTCTCGGCAGTCCTCCAACTAGAGCTCACTGTCTGGTCCCACGCCAGGGAGCCGGCAACACTGCGTCTACATCTGAATCCCTTCCGATCTGCGTCGCATGATGAGCAGTGTCTCAGTTTTCCTCTAACCACTGTTTGAGCAGCCTCTGGAACACTCTCTTGCTCTCCTGCTGCCTCTCCAGTTGGCGCTTCTCCTCTCTCTCCTGCTGCTGGAGCGCCCCTCCGGGCAGAAGGCCGGGCTGGCTGGTACCCAGGCTGAGGGTCAGGCCGCTGAGGCCCTGCACTAGCGCCTCCCAGGAGGAAGCAGGAGGAGCCCCGCTCCTCTCCCCAGGGATCCCAGAAAGAGTCGGCCTATGGCTCTGGCAGTATCGACACTCGCATCGGAATCGATTCTGATCCCCGTTCCCTGACAGAGAGATCCTGGGTTCCCTCTCAGCCGGGTAAGGTGCCATGTGATCACGGTGTCTGCGCCTCAGGTGCCCCAGGAATGCTTTCTTCCTCTGCGGGAACGCCAGCCTTTCCCACCGCCTCTCTTGCAGGCTCTTCTCCTCTCGGTACCGCTGCTGGAGCAGCCCCTCTGGCAGAGGCACAGGGTGCCTGGAGCCAGGACCAGGGCATGGGTTACCCAGGCCCACCATCAGCTGCTCTGAGGAGGAAGGCCGAGGGGCTGCTGTGCCCGCCTGCGAAGTCTCTGCAGCCGTCATCTGGGAAGATCCCGAGATCAACACTGGATTCCATTTCTGGAGTGGATCCATGGAGGTCTAGTCTGAGCTGGAGGCTCCGCTCGGCCTCTGTGTTCTGGACAAGAACGTGAAGCTGGAGGTTCTCAGATATCCAGAAGGTAGCGAGGAAGGGTGTGCGGCCAGACTGAAACAAAGGGTGATAAGGGAAGAAAGGAGAGCCGCCATTATACACCTTACTTAACCCCTCTGTCCCTCCACTTCCTGTGTGTAAAACGGGGACAATCAGGAGACCCACCACCTTGTCTTCTGGGGATCGACTGAGATAATACCTGTCTAGAGCGTAGAATGTGGCTGGCATATAGCAAAGGTGTTAGAAACGACACCAATCATCGCATCCCAGTCACACAGGATGCAAAAGGGTGCAACGCATTCGGTGAGGCCACTTCCTTGCTGACACTTTCCGACCCATTCTCTAGAATAATTTTAAGAACAATCAATGCATGATGAGCAAGCGCTCTTCTCACAAGCATTCATCTCCTTTCGTAAAGTAGACTTTTCCTAAATTTTATACCTGGTGGCACATTCTTTTGTATTTTTGCCTTTGTGATCACTGATTTTGCATATACTCAAAAAGGCTGCTGAAGCTATGGAAATCATTTCCAAATTCCCAGCATGTGTACAAAATAGGAGCAAGAGAAAACCAGGAAATTTCCAACAGATACAAAATAGATAATTTCACTTGAACCAAAAGCCTGTTCTTTGAAATAATCAATAAAATTGATCAACCTGTAGAACACTGACAGGTAAAAAACAGAGAGAAGCAACAAGGTACCAACTTCAGGAATGAAAGAAGAGAATCCACCTATAGTCCCAGAGAACATAAAAGGGACAATGTAGTAATCCCGCAAAAAACTCTTCTGTGTGAACTCTGCAGCTCAGATGAAATGGACCACGTACTCGAAAACCATAAGCTATCAAAGTCACACAAGATGTGGTTCAAACATCGAACTGTGTGCACAGTCCTGTATCTCTTAATGAAACCGAACTCATAGTTTAAAAACCTTTGGAAAAAGATCCCTAGGCCCAGGCAGTTTCAGTGGCATATTCTACCAAATGTTAAATGGAGAAATAAGAACAATTCTACAAAATAAAATAAGGCAGAGGGAACACTTCCAACTGATTTTATGAGGCTAGCACAGCACTGATCCCAAGAAAACTACAGACTGATCAATACTCCTTCTCAATCAGGCACAAAAATTCTTCAAGAACAAACTAGCAGTTCAAATCTAACAAGAGATGAAAAGAATAATAAACCACGATCAAGGGGGTTTTATACCAGGAACTCAAGGGATGTTCCTTCTATAACTGAAAATCCATCTACATAATCCACAGATGGAGACATCAGAGGAAGAAGAAAAACAATAAGATCACATCAACATGTGCAGAAGAAACATTTGGCAAGATTCAACGTCCATGGATGATATAAAAACCCCAGTACACAAAGACTAGAAGACACTTCCTGAACCTCATAAAGGGCACATAAAGAAAAACCTACAACTCACGCCCCACTTAATGGTCAAAGACTGAATGCTTGGGAATGAGGCAAGGATGTCCACTCTCACCATAGCTATTCAACTCCATGTTGGAGTCCCCAGACAGAGCAATAATGCCAGAAAAGCAAATGGCACATGTATGAGAGTGCAAGAAATAAAAAATGACCCTTTTGTAGATCACATGATCCTCTACACAGAACACTCCAATGTATCTTCCCCAAACTCCTGGAAGGAATAATCAAGTTTACAAAGACACAGGAGACAAAGTCAACACACAGAAAACAATCATGTGAGTAAGTGGAAACCTAAATTTAAGAAACAATACTGTTTGTAATAGCTACAAACACACTGGAATAGTTAGGTATGAAACTAAGAAAATATCCACAGAATCTGTATGCTGAAAGCTATAAAATGCTAATGAAGGAAATCAAAGACGACCTAGTTAAATGGAGAGAAACAATATGTCTGTGGATTGAAAGATTTAACAAAGGAAAAAGTCAATTTTGTTCAACTTGCTTTGCAGAATCAATGCACTGCCCATTGAAATCCTTGATGGAAATTTATATTATATATATATATATATATATATATATATATATATATATATCTCAACAAACTGATTGTACAATTTATGTAGAAGTTTCAGTTTTTCAAAAAGATGTAAAGATTTGGAGAAATGGCATTACGTGATTGTTAGACTTGCTGTAAAGCTGCAGTCCTCAGGACTCCTGTCCTAGAAAGGGGTAGACATGCAGATCAATAGAAGAAAATAGTCCATAAATACATCCACAGAAATATGGTCACAGGAGTTTGGACAGGGATGCAAAAGGGAATTCAAAAGAGAAAGGATGATCTTTTTAATAAATGGTGTTACATATCCATGTGGAAAAATATGAACCTCAGCCCCGACATTTACAGATAATTTAACTAAAAACGGTTCAGAGGTGTATGGCCAAGGCTACGATCATACGACTTTTAGAAGAAACGAGAGGAGAAGATCTTTGTGAGCTGAGGAAAGCTAAGTCTTGGACATGACACAGAAAGCACGATCCACATGAGGGAAAAATGAACAAAGTGGGATTTCAGTAAAATTTAAAACTCTGGCTCTATAAAAGACAGTGTGTGAAGAGAATGAAAAGCAAGAGCACACATTAGGATAAAATGTTTGTAAATCACAGACCTGATAAAGGCCTCATCTGCAGAATAGAGAAAGCATTTTCAGAACTCAACAGTCAAATCACCAACGTCTCAATTAGAATGGGAGAAAGGCTTGAAGACGAGCCCATGAAACAACATCCACCGTCATGAACCATGAGGGGAATGCGAATTAAAACCAAGATGAGGACGAGGAAAGCCGCCAGTCAGAGTGTCTCTGCAAAAAAGACAGATTTTAGAAGAAAATGAAAAAAATAAACTAGCAGAAAAGCATAGATTGCGTGAGGGTCAGAAGGAACAGTGCCTGAAACTACAAGAGACTCCACGGGAAGATGTTGCAGAGAACTGGAAGGAGAAATGTCCTAGAGAGGCTTGGACACCAGTGACAAGGGTAGGTGGAGCAGATAACTTTGCCTTCCCTTGCATCTCGGACTGTTGGTGGTCTCCTGAGTGTTGGAGAGACTGCGAACACCAGCCCAGAGACAGCTGTCGCCAGTGGGCACTGGCCTCTTGCAGACAGGGCACCAGGCTCCCAGCTCCCTCGGGGCACCTCCCCGCGAGCAGACCCAACCCTATCGGCAGACGCCATATTGCTCCATTCTCTCCTTCCCCTTCCCTACCCGTGGGTGCTCAGAGAGACAATTTAGCCATCACACGGAGGCATCTACAAGGAACGGGACCTTTCCTTTTGGGACCCTACAGCAGACTGAGGGGTACTCAGACTGCGAGCTCCCTACCCGCCAGCCTTCCCAGATGCTGCTTGCCTGGTGACTCCAGGAGAGTGGGGAAAATCCCGAGGTGGAGTGAAATCGATCCAGCTTGGGCACCCTGTAGGTGATTCAAGACCAGCATCCCTCCCCCTGGCAGGGTCAGGGATTGATCTCCAGGGCCCATGGGACAGTCCTGCAGACTAGACCCTATACACCCAGCTCACGATCGTACTGCCCCAGGGCACAGAAGGGATATCTGTGAAAGAGCCTACTGAGGAGTGTGTGACTTCAGGTGCAGATCAGCATGCCTGAGTGGCAACCCTCCTCCCAAAAGAGGGCTGTGCACCCAGCTCAGGCTGTGATCCTGGGCAGGGAACATCCCAGCCCATGTCACAACCAGGGGAGGTCCATTGGCCTGAGGTCCTCCTTGCTGGCAGAGGTCTGGGAGAGGCCATGGAGTGGGGGAGGGTGAAGGGGAGCGAGACCTGCTCCAGAGTGTGGGTCTTGGACAGCCCCATGCCCCCAAAGCCCAGACTTTCCAGCTGAGCAGAGCCATTTCAGCCCCTCCTGGCAGCTTCGCACAGAAGCAAAGAACAGACCTTTGACCCCTTCTAACAGCATTTGTGGAACTTTAGGGAAGGCATACCCAACCTGACCCCGCCCAGACTCACTCCTGGACCTGCCCCCACTGAAGTGGAGAATAAGGACACACCTGGAAGTCCCAGGGGCCCATCCACCACCCGAGGCACAAGAGGGCCCCTCCAGAGGAACAAGAGCTGGCTACAGGACCCAAAAACAGCACTGCAGCTCGCTCCTCCCAGCAAGTGCCACCTACTGACAGGGAGGTCATCCTGCACACCCTTTTACTGCATCTACTGATTCATCATAAAGGGTGTGGTCAAATCTCACCCACAAACACCACCTATTGGCTCAGAGACTAAACAGGGCGTGTCATTTTCCAAACAAAAATCTAAAGGCAAGAAGGAACAACTGATCCAGATGGGAAGGAATCAGCGAAAGAATTCTGGAAGTATGAAGAAACAAATGGAAACCACACCCCCAAAGAGGAACAACAGCTCCCTAGCAATTGACGTTAACCAAACTCAGAACACTAAAATGACAGAAGAAGAATTTCAAACACGGACTGTTAGAAAACTCAATGATAGAGCAAGAAAAAATGGATAACCAACACAAAGAAATCACACACACAAAAAAAATCCAGGACTTGGAAGAAAAAATCACTAAAGAAATTGAAATATTAAAGAAAAATCAAACCAATCTCCTGGAAATGAAGGACTTATTCAGGGAACTACAAAACACAGTGGAAAGCCTCAAGAACAGGGTAGATCAAACAGAAGAAAGAATCTCAGAGATTAAAGACAAACTTCTTCCAATTAAACAAGCCAGTCACAGACATCGAGCAGAAAATTAAGAGAAAAGAAATAAGCCTACAAGAAAGTTGGAATTATGTGAAAAAACCGAACCTGAGGGTGATAGGGGTTCCGGAAGGTGAAGAAGAAAACACTCAAGGGCTGGATAAGCTATTTGAAGAATTAATAGAGGAGAATTTCCCAGGCCTCGCTAAAAATCTAGATATACAGGTACAAGAAGCTCAACGGACCCCAGGGAGATTCAATGCAAATTGGAAGATGCCACATCATGCAGTCATCAGATTGCCCAAAATATCCACTAAAGAGGCCCTTCTATGAGCTGTAAGGTGAAAGAAACAAGTAACATACAAAGGAAAGCCTATTGGAATAACTCCA